TAAACCATTCCACGTTTCAAATAAGCTTCTGCTTTCAGATGATGGGGTACATGGTAAGACCACTTAATTCCATGAGCACAAGCCCGTTACTAAACTTCCTTTGCTATGAAATAAGCTCCTTGATTAGACATAATACTATGGGGAATGCCATAACTATGAATAGGCATTCTGTGAATTCCCCCAGTGTTGGTGCTGGCAGGAGCATTATGAGCAAAGAAGGCAAATTCATGTCCAAAACATCTATTCCAGTGAAGACAAATCTATGCCCCCTCCATGATGAAAGAAATCCAATGTAATTAACTTGACATCAAGTGTCTGGCTGGTCCCCCCAGGGAGTAGTACATATTAGGGACTCAGTGTCGGTCTCTGCTGTTGACATATTAGGCACTCAGCTATGGAGTCATCTAGAAGATTTTTTTGTTTGTTTGTTTAAAGCATTTTAAAATTTTATTTATTTATTTATGGCTGCGTTGGGTCTTGGTTGCTGAGCGCAGGCTTTCTCTAGTTGCGGCGAGCGGGGGCTACTCTTCCTTGCGGTGCGCGGGTTTCTCATTGCGGTGGCTTCTCTTGTCGCGGAGCACGGGCTCTAGGCGCGCAGGCTCAGTAGTTGTGGCGCTCGGGCTTAGTTGCTCCGCAGCACGTGGGATCTTCCCGGACCAGGGCTCAAACCCGTGTCCCCTGCACTGGCAGGTGGATTCTTAACCACTGCGCCACCAGGGAAGTCCCTCTTTGCTTACTCTAAAAGAATCAAAAATTAGGAATGGTCTAAAGAAGGAACTCACCCCTGTTTTTGGCAACCTAAAACACGGATCAAACCAGTCCTGCTTTAATTCCTGTTGAAGCTCTCTGTGACCTGGGACAAATCACGTGACTGTGGAACGTTGAGTTTTGTTAAGTTGATATCTATCCTATGGTGCACTTAAAAGAAGAAATTGAGAATATATGTAAACCATGTCACTAAGTACTTGGCATAGAGTAGAAGCCCCATCCATGTTAGTTGCTAGTCATCCTCTTCCTCCCTTTTTTTCCTCTGTTCAGTTGAAGCAAGTGGGGAACCTCTCCCCCAGTACACATTCAGGCAGGAGGGCCTAACTTGCCCACAGGTCAGATCTCCATCTACTACTGTCTGCTTCACAATTCAGACATCATCACAACACAGACATGATCCTTTTGTCTTGCAAAGGCTTTTCTTTCTAGGCATTAAGTGTGGCTTCCAGCTGAGTCCCCATTGTTTATCCTGTGGTCCCTCTCTGAGTGTCCAGCTCATGGTAAAGACTTACAGCTTGGCAGTAAGGTTTGGGGGCCTCTTTTAGAGAAAAAAGGGGTGGAGGCAGGGGAAAGATGAATTCCTGAATCTTCAGGCTAGTGCTGGGCATGGCTTTCCAAAAGCTTAGAGCAACGGTTCCCAAAGCCCTCAGACACAGTGCCCGTTTTACTATCCAGGAATGATATTCATATGTAATATAAACTATAAACATAATTTCAAAAAGTAAATATAATACTCTAACCATATATTATAAAGGTGAAATAAAAGATTAATTTATAATAAAATTGTCTGTATTTTAATATGTAATGTTCAGGCATAACTACACTGGAAGCATATAACATAGTAGAGACTTGAACCTACACGTAGAATCATTGTAAATACAACAGCAACAAATGCAAACTGATAGGGGCATGTGTATCAGTGACTCAAATACCATAAGCAGTATTGTCATTGATGATGTGGATTTCTGAAACGGTAAGCAACTAATGATAAAGTTCTGAACAAACCACATTATAAGTTCCTTCAATCTACATGTTAGTTGCATTTCTGAAAATCCAGTGTTTAAAATGGTGCAAAAAGTACTTCGTGTTCATATGTAAAATGAAGTTGGGTTCCAGGTACCCTTAGATTATAACAGGTTTTTCACATTAATACACAATGGTATTTTTAAAAGACATGTGGGATGTGGGACAATTTTATTTTGTGCAGCACTATTCTGGTCATTGCAGCATGGTTAGCATCTTTCACCCCTGAATGCTCAATACCAGGAAACCCTCCCTCATCCCCACCCCACCCCCCTACATATCATGACAACAAAAAAAATACCCCCATGGACTTCCAAAACATCCCCTAGAGGGCAGTACATCCTCCTGTTGAGAACTGGCTTGGGGAATCAGTGAGACTTGGAGCCCTCCCAGGAGTTAGAGAAGAGTTTGGCTTCATTTCATGATGCCTGCATCTCTTCACCTTTATACCCTAATGTGAGTCTGTTGACCCTTCTTCCTTTTCTGGGCATGCGTATCAGCCCTACCCGCCAAGTTCTGTGCCCCATTTCTCTAGCCATTTCACTTCAAACCACCTTTAATTCCAGAGGGCCTGCCCCTATGTTCCTTGGAGCACCAGGGGAGGCAGCTGGATGCGATCAAGCCACTGATAGAATTCTGGGAGGAGTCTAGCAGTACAATCAGGTAAAGCCAGAGCTGGTGGTCCCCTAGAAATATGGGGGACCACAGAGGGTCTAGGTCTTACTTGTGTGGGCCACGAGGGACCAAGTAGATATGCCTGGGCTCGGCTAAGGGAAGCTTGGCCCTCTCTGCCCTCTAAACTAGGCTGAACGACGTCCTCGACAACAAAGCTCTCTACTCTTCAGTCACCCAGTCCCTTATCAAGGTGGTACAAACAGCACAGATTCTAGAGGCAGACTACCTGAGCTCTGATACTAACTCACCAATTCACTTGCTTTGGGAAGGTTATTTAATCTCTCTGTGCCTCAGTTTCTTCATATGTAAAAAGGAAATAATATGTCATAGGGTTGTAAGAATTAAATGAGTTTACATATGTAAAACTGCTTGGAACGTGGTCTGGCACACAGTACTTTACAAATCTAGATATTACCATTGTCATCACCATTCATGCCCTGCAGGTAGCATAAGGCTAGGGAGTTACCCCAACTTGGGGGATGAACATGATGAAACCTATGTCAACAGAACATTATGTACAGGTAATACTCAAGTGATCTAGGGGATATGACCCTCTTGCTTTATTCTTGAAGATCTAGGTGATTAGGGAATAAGAAAGGCCTATTAGTAGTAGCAGTAGTGTTATACCAAGGGAAGACTAGAATCCTGAGAGCAGGAGGGAGAGCGGTCAATGCCACCCTAACCCAATGGCTGGAGGAGGGAAGTAGTCAGGGAGGGAATGAAGAAGCCTCTGCTGAAGCCTTGGGAACAGGCTGACCTTCTGAACATCCGTGGATTGTGAGTTTCTGCCTTTGCAGATCTGGACTCAGGGCTACCAGCCAAACAACCAGAACAGTAGGCACCAGTGATGTCCATCTTAACAAACCACCTGACCCACAAACCCTCAGTTTTCAGAGGCACAGACAGCAGACGATTAAAACTGGAAGACAGCAGCTCACTGGAGAGTGATTCCAGTGAGAACTTGTTCTCAGGGATGAGTACAGCCCCTGCTCAAAGAAGCTGCCAGGAGTCACTCCCACTGAAAACAACTCCAGAAATAAGGGAAACACAGCAAGGGTAGACAGAGAGAGGCAGAGGTGGACAGGAAGGGAAGTTCCCAAAAAGGACATTAGGACAGGGGTTAAGTGTAAGAGTAAAAGATGAAAGAGATCAAAGTGGAAAAAGATGGCTCTATATTGGGGCAAGTTCAAGGAGAGGTCAAGAGCCCTACCCAGCAATGACACCAAGTCCCTGAAAGTAGGTTGTCCAGGGAAGCAGGATCCTTGTCCTTTTAGCCCCCTGAATTTCTCCCAAGACTTTCACCTCCAAGTTTGGGCTTTGGTAACATATTTCAAAGTATCCCCCGCTCAGATCTCCAGACCTCTTTCACTTTTGACGAGACTCTACTCCCAGCTCTGCCACTCCTACACAGAGAAAAAAGTACCAAAAGAGTTATCAGTGATATAGATGTGACAACTGCATTTGTTTTCTTCCTCGACTGTTTCTAATGCGTGTGTCTTCTGCTAAACCACTTATTATGAGAGTATTCACCGATTCCTCAAAGACTTGTGGTTTTTGCTCCACAGAACAAAGCACTCAGGAATAATTTCTCAGTGATCAGTACTCAAGGATCGTGTCTCTGGCAGAGAGACAGAATTCTAGGGCCCCAAGGAGGAGTTACAGATATGCCAGAGAGGAAAGCCTCAGTTTGAGTGCCCTATGGTAGAAGTAAGTAGCCTGGGCAGAGAGAAACCAGCATTCAGAACTTTTACTGAGAACTACTACTGGTCCAGCAAAAGATGCCTAAACCTTTCTTTCCGGTTCAAACTATCTTTCCCAAAGCAACAGGCTATGTTTTTGCTACCATGCCCTTTCTTTAAAATACACATGAGGACAAGCATAATAGCCTGGAGCTAGTAGTAGTGAAGGGGAAAAAATCATGCTCCAGATCAGGGTGGCAAAAAACAAATCAGCAGGTATCCTCCAAGCAGCAGAGTCTATAGGAGACGGCTGGTGACAGAGAATGCCACTATTGCCCTAGCACCAGCCAACTCTCAGAAGCTCATATCACCAGGAACAGGAAGTACCTGTTTTACTTTAGTGCTAATAGGGGCAGACCAAGGTGCAGTACAGTTAATCCCCATCTTGTGTCCACGGAACCAGAGAACAGGGAATCCTCCTGTTCTACCAGGACATACTGGACACACGCCTAGTGTGGCAATGAGGTTATCCTTTTATTTGTCCCTGAGTCCAGGACTGAAAGCCACCATCATTACTATACTGCACTCAGAACAGATTTCAAATGTAAAATTTCCTTCTCGTCTCTGGCAACAGGAGAAGAGGGCCTTCCCGTGAATTACTGTTTAATCCTCCTGATAGTCTATAGCCATGGCTTGTTAGGCATGGACGAACTTTGTAATATAGGTTGCTTCCAGGGATATTGTTCCTTGCTTCCTATTCAGAGCTGCTGCATGGTTCCAGCTTCTGTATTCTTAAATCAGTACTAAGAAGTGAGGAGAATGGGGGAGAGAAAGCGTTCCTTGTTCGACCTTCAAGCATTTGGCTTCTGGTTTCAATGTATAGAAATCATTTCTCAGCAATGTAAGCCATCATTTTATTCATGGTTTAAAATCTTCAGCGTGACAGTGGTGCTCTCTATTGACCCAGAGTCATCTGCTTCTTCTCCTGTTTGATAAAACAGTGGGAGGGGAGGAGGGTCGTGGGAGGAAGACAAAGCAGGAGGGACAGCTAACACAGGTCATTCGGGGAGAGGGAGAAAGGAAAGATGGGGTTTGTTTTCAGAGGCAGATCCACCAAGCGTGTGCTCGCTGGAAGGGGAAAGAGAAGGAGATGAGCACCCTTGTAGGGGAGCATCGGGGGTGGAAATAGCAGCAGGTAGAGACAATGTGGGTGGTGAATCAAGGTGAGCACAAGGTCAGGGAAGGAAGGTAGGAGAGGGCTTCGGTCTGTGTTAGTTTCCTGAGCCATCATGTAATCCGTGCAGTTGCTCTACCACCCTCCCTGAGGCCAGCTCAGGCTTATATTCATATTCCTCCCAAGAAAAAAGAGAAGTAGAGGTCAAAAGGCCCCACTTGAGGGTTTTGTTTATTGTTTTCATAATTATTAAACATGCTAAAATCACATAGAGTGGCTGTTCCACTTCTGCTCTGACTCCACAGTGGGGCAGGTGGGAACTACAAGGGTCACTTGGTTTTTGTGGCCTCTGGGGGTGGCTAGGCATGAGGGGTTAGAGGTAGGCAGGTTAAAAAAGCCCCAAGAATCCTTCATATGGTACACCTTTACCAGCAGTAACTTGTGTCCTTAGAGATCTCCTCCTCCTTCACTTTTCTTTTCTTCCCAAATCAACTGGCGATTTCCTTCCCAAATCTTCCCATTTCCCTGCCTGTGGCCCCTTGAACCTCTTCCACTTCTGCCCCTTACGGCTCTAGACTAGACGATGAAGGAAACTTTCCCTTGTCTCTACCAGTCCCAGTCTCCCTTCCTTGGAACTAATCTACTGGGCATGCACTAACATGGGAGCAGTTTGATTTAGGTCTGCCCAGGGGAAAGGGAGGCTCCAGTCCCCACTGTGGCTTAGCTCATAGGAGGGAAGTTGAGGTCCTGATGAGAAGGATGTGAAGGTAAAAAATGCTACCTGAAGTGTGAATGTTGTAACCAGTGGAACAGGGCATATGCCCCACCCTCGGGCACCCTACTCTGAAGGCTTTTCCCTCCCTCCCACATTGTCAGGGGTCCCCCTCTCAACCTCAAATCCTCTTGCTCTTCAGCCTCATAGGGCAGGCACAGGTACTGATCAAGGAGCTGTATCCCAAGGAGAAAATGTTCCACCCTTAAGCAAGTGGCTGCCTGTTGAATTCTTCATCTTCCCTGTGTTCCTTGTGCCTCTGCGGCTGCGATGGCTTGAAAGGCCAGAGAAAATAATGTAGAAGTGTTGAACTTGCCTCAACGAGAAGCTTGAGGGACAAAGAGACAAAGATACATGGGAGTCAGAGCTGTGGAGAAGGGGAGGGAAGGGAGCAAGGTGAAGGGTAAGGCTGGTTATTCAGGAACTGGAATCCTTTTTCTTTTTCTGGAATCGCCGGAACTTGCCCTGAATAGCAAGGGCAGCCTTCTCTGTTTCTGGTGCCGTCAGATCAATGTCAATCTCCTCCTCCTCCTCAGCCTTCTTGGCATTGCCAGCTCTCCCTACAGATAGTTGAGAGATTCATTAATGCGTAAACCTGAATTGCCCCAGCCCCTTTCCCAGGCCCCAAATACAGTGGTTAAAGTCCACTTTCTACTGGACTCTGTGAGGTCCCCCAATCTTTGCTAGGACCTGGAATGCCTGATAACTCTCCCAGAAGCTTGAGTCAGGGTACCTAGGCTGAGAATTAGTTATAGTAGGTGCTCAGAAGCTTTGCAACTCTTGAACCAAGATGACAAATGTCTTCTATCACCACTTATTCCTAAATCCTACAGTTCAGAGTCCCACAGCACACTCACTTTCCCCTGTTTTCCCTAAAGTTCTGATGGAGACAGGGGCTGGGATCATTTGATGAGTTTCTTCCTGTCACTGTACGTGTTTCCAAGCATTCCAGAGCCAGTGTCTAAAATCAAAGAGTAACTTCTAGTAGGTTTACTTCTTAGGAAAAAGTGGAAGGAAGTTTATAGATATAGTAGTCCTAACCTAGTGCTTTGTTTCACTTATCACATTCTTATTCCTGTTACATCTGACTTTAGGAGCTTCCAGGCTTACAGCCCTACTTGTCTTCATGTCCCTATATTTACCTGCCCTACAAACTGCTTAGCCAACCCCCACTCACCCTTTTCCTCTGGGCCAGCTGCCTGGTTGGTTGCTGGGGATGTTTTGGTGTTAAGCTGGAAAAGAAAAATCAGAATATTAGATATTCACAGAAGTATTAAGGTGCCATCCCCGTAGACTCACCGTCATCATTTTCAAGCCCTCCTACTACCAGGTCCATCCCTTAGTCTTTTGAAGAAGTGGGTCTTGAGATCAGAGAGAGGGAGAAAAGTCATCAAAATTTATTCAACAAGTATCGATTGGTGCTAGGGAAATTGTAGAGGACAAAACAGAAAAAACCCTGCCCTCATGGAGTTTACATTCTAGGATATAGATAGACAAATGAATAAAAAAATATTATTATGTTAAGTGGTGATAAGTGCTGTAGAGAAAAGACAGGGAAGGGAGGTAGTGACTGCCAGGTGGGAAAGGAGAAATACAGTTTTATACAGAGTAGTCAGGAAAAGCCTTTCTGAAAGGTGGTATCTGAGTCAAGAGCTGAAGGAGATAAGGGAGTAAGGGCTGTAGGTGGTGGGCAAGAGCTCTCAAGGGCCCTGGGGTGGAAGTGTGACTAGCGTGTTTGAGCAATAGCATGAGTCCAACGTAGCTGGAGTGAACGACAGTTGGAGATGAGATCAGAGATAACTGGGAGCTGGGGCAGACTCCGTCGGACCTTGGGAGTCTTTTTTTTTTTTTTTTTTTTGCAGTACGTGGGCCTCTCACTGTTGTGGCCTCTCCCGTTGTGCAGCACAGGCTCCGGACGCTCAGGCTCAGCGGCCATGGCTCACGGGCCCAGCCGCTCCGCGGCATGTGGGATCCTCCCGGACCGGGGCACGAACCCGTGTCCCCTGCACCAGCAGGTGGACTCCCAACCACTGCGCCACCAGGGAAGCCCCTTGGGAGTCTTTTTAAGCCTTGGGAGTCTTTTTAAGGAGCTTGACTTTTATCGTAAGGGTGATGAGAAGCCATTAGAGACCTTCAATTGGCACATAAGGGGCATTAGGGAGGAAGCTGAAAAATCTGTTAGGCGATTATTGCAGAAAACTAGACAGGAGATAATGGTTGCTTGGATCAAAAAGGTGTCAGTGGAGGTGGTGAGAAGTGATTTGATTCTAGGTATACAATTGTCCCTCAGATTCCGCAGGAGATTGGTTCCAGGACCCCCGAGGATACCAAAATCCACAGACGCTCAAATACCTTATATAAAATGGCATTTATTTGTATATTGGCAAGTATTTGCATATAACCTATGCACATCCTCCCACATACTTAAAATCTCTAGATTATTTATAATGCCTAATACAATGTAAAGGCTATGTAAATAGTTGTCAATACAATGTAAATGCTATGCAAATAGTTGCTGGCTTGCAGCAAATTCAAGTTTTGCTTTTTGAAACTTTCTGAAATTTAAAAAATTATATACTTTCAATCTTTGGTTCGTTGAATCCACGGATGCAGAACCCTCAGACACAGAGGGCCAACTGTATTTTCAAGCTACGACTATTGGTTAAATGGCATAGTGAGACAACTCAAGGATAGCTCCAAAGTTTTTGGGCTGAGGAAATGAAAAAAAATGAAATTGCCATTTCCTGAAATGAAGAAGACAGCAGGAGGAGCAGGTATTAGGGAAAGGATCAGAAGCTTGTTTTTGGACAAGTTTGAGATTGCCTACCTAATTATCCAGGAGGAGTTTTTTTTGTTTTTGTTTTTTACATCTTTATTGGAGTATAATTGCTTTACAATGTTGTGTTAGTTTCTGCTGTATAACAAAGTGAACCAGCTCTACGTATACATATATCCCCATATCCCCTCCCTCTTGAGCCTCCTGCCCACCCTCCCTATCCCACCCCTCTAGGAGGTCACAAAGCACTTGATCTCCCTGTGATATGCAGCTGCTTCCTACTAGCTATTTTACATTTGGTAGTGTATATATGTCAATGCTACTCTCTCATTTTGTCTCAGCCTCCCCACCCCGTACCCCCTGGCCCCCGGCCCCCCACCATCCTCAAGTCCACTGTCTACCAGGAGGAGATGTTGTTATAAGCTGTTGGATATTCAAGATGAGTTAAAGAGAAGACTCTTGCCTAGAGATATAAATTAGACAGTTATTAAGATGTGGTTGGCATTTAAGCCATGAGACTGGGTGAGATCACCAAGGGAGTGAGTTCAGATAAAGAGGAGAAAAGGGTCAAATCCTGGGGCATTCCGGTGATTAGAGGTTGTAGAAATGCGGAGAAATCAATAAGAGAAGTTGAGAAGAAGCCAGGAGAAAAGTCAAGAGATTATAGTACTTTAGAAGCCATATAAAGAAACTATTTCAAGGAGACAAGAGTGAATAATTGTGTCAAATTCTGCAGGTAAGGGACTTCCCTGGTGGTCCAGTGGTTAATAATCCGGCTTGCAATGCAGGGGATGCCCGTTTGATCCCTGGTCAGGGAACTAAGATCCCACATGCCATGGGGCAACTAAGCCCGCGCACCACAACCGCTGAGCCCGCGCGCCACAACTACTGAAGCCCGCACGCCTAGAGCCCATGCTCCGCAACAAGAGAAGCCACCGCAGTGAGAAGCCCGAGCACCACAACAAAGAGTAGCCCCCACTCACCGCAACTAGAGGAAGCCAGCCTGCAGCAACGAAGACCCAACGCAGCCAAAAATTAGAAAAAAAAATAAAGTAAAACCAGTCAAGATATTGTCCCTATCTTCCAGGCTGAGTGAGGAGATAAGACAAGTATCCAAATAATACTTCCTGAGCATTTATTATGTGCCAAACCGTATCCCATTTAATCCTCTGAAATCTCTGAGATGTCATCCTAATTTATAGTTGAGGAAACAGGCTTAGAGATGTTAAAGATCTTGCCCAAGGGCTTCCCTGGTGGCGCAGTGGTTGAGAGTCCGCCTGCCGATGCAGGGGACACGGGTTCGTGCCCCGGTCCGGGAAGATCCCACATGCCGCGGAGCGGCTGGGCCCGTGAACCATGGCCGCTGAGCCTGCGCGTCCGGAGCCTGTGCTCCGCAACTGGAGAGGCCACAACAGTGAGAGGCCTGCGTACCGCCAAAAACAAAAACAAAAACAAAAACAAAAAAAACGCTGGGACTTCCCTGGTGGCACAGCGGTTAAGAATTCACCTGCCAAGGCAGGGGACACGGGCTTGAGCCCTGGTCTGGGGAGATCTCACATGCCGCAGAGCAACTAAGCCCCTGTGCCACAACTACTGAGCCTGTGCTCTAGAGTCCGTGAGCCACAACTACTGAGCCCATGTGCCACAACTGTTGAAGCCCGCGCGCCTACAGCCCATGCTCGACAATGAGAGAAGCCACTGCAATGAGAAGCCCGCGCACCGCAATGAAGGGTAGCCCCTGCTCACCACAACTAGAGAAAGCCCATGTGCAGCAACGAAAGACCCAAGGCAGCCAAAAATAAATAAATAAAGATAAAAAACGCTGATGCAGTGCTATATTTGATAGGGAAGTCTTTTAAAATAAATTACAAATTTAAAAATTGTTAGGTAGGTGGACAATCTCATCTTTTTGGATGTTAAAATTTGGGGCCAAACAAAGATGGCTTTATTGATCATGTGTGATTTTCAAAGGATATATTGGTCACATTTATACCGCCTTTTCAAGTCTTGTGGCTTATTTGTGTATTCCTAGTATCTTGCAAAGTACTGGAGAGAGCAGACAGTTATAAAATAACTATCTAATTTTTTTATTATTTAAAAAATTTTTATTGTAGTTTAGTTGATTTACAATGTTCTGTTAATTTCTGCTCTACTGTGTTTTATTTGTTTGTTTTTTTAATAAATTTATTTATTTATTTTTTGGCGTGTTGGGTCTTCGTTGCTGTGCTCAGGCTTTTTCTAGTTGAGGTGAGCAGAGGCTACTCTTTGTTGCGGTGCGTGGCCTTCTCATTGTCGTGGCTTCTCTTGTTGCGGAGCATGGGCTCTAGGTGCGCAGGCTTCAATAGTTGTGGCATGTGGACTCAGTAGTTGTGGCTTGCGGGTTCTAGAGTGCAGGCTCAGTAGTTGTGGCACACGGGCTTAGTTGCTCCGCGGCATGTGGGATCTTTCCAGGCCAGGGCTCGAACCTGTGTGCCTTGCATTGGCAGGCAGATTCTTAACCACTGCACCACGAGGGAAGCCCTGCCCTAATGTTTTTAAAAGTTGATATGGTCGAGGGACTTCCCTGGTGGTGCAGTGGTTAGGAATATGCCCGCCAGTACAGGGGACATGGGTTCGATACCTGGTCCAGGAAGATCCCACATGCCACGGAGCAACTAAGCCCGTGCGCCACAACTACTCAGCCTATGCTCTAGAGTCTGCGAGAAACAACTACTTAAGCCCACACACCTTAGAGCCCGTGCTCCACAAGAGAAGCCACCGCAATGAGAAGCCTGTGCACCGCAATGAAGAGTAGCCCCCGCTCACCACAACTAGAGAAAGCCCACGCGCAGCAACGAAGGCCCAGTGCAGCCAAAAATAATTAAATTCACAAATAAAAGTTGATATGGTCCAATTTTTGTAAAATATATTGATTGCTTATGTATGTGTATGTACATTTTTATTTAAAAATCTGAAAGAACTTGCACAAGGGTGTTCCCCAAACCCTATGGAATTCCTGCTAGTCCCCTTTTGACCAAAAAAAAAAAGTTTCCATTAGAGGAAGGGTTGTTCCTGAGACTCTTGGGAGACTGGCCACTCATTACTCTTTCTTTTCCCATGACCTTCCTGTAGTCTAGATATATATTTTTTTTTCTTTTTTTTTGGCACATGATCAATGTAATGACCCAGTAGTTAGCTAGGTGATGCTTTCCACACTGGCACGCTGTCATCACAAGAGGTCTGTCCACACTGCAAAAGCATGAGATACATGGGGTGTTTAGTAATAGGATAATAGTCAATAGTCCAGACAAGAGGGTCACAGGTCAAGAGGCAAGTTCTATAGTCCCATGATCTCTGACTTCAAACCCTCCTTTTTTTATTGCCAGCAAATCCCTGAATCTGATCCTTGCTTTAACCATTATCCCTCTCTCTCTCTCTAAGCCTGTTCCCTTAATCCACCAATTCTTTTCTTTCATC